ATATTTTGAGCCAAATGAAAATAAAAACACAGCACATCTAAATTTGGGAATATCTAACATTATGATGAGAAAGAAATGCATGCTTCTAAATTGTTAGTTTATAAGAAACAAAAACTTTGAAATCAATCATGTAAGCCTCCACCTTAAGAAATTAGTGAGAAGAAAAAAAGGAGAGAGAGAGCAAATTATCACAAAGTAAAGTGTAGAAAGGAAATAATACAGATAAGAATGGAAATAAATTATATAGAAAATAGACAGACAGTAGATAAATATATATAAAAACCAAAATATTTTTCTTTTTAAAGGTCAATAAAATTGTAGATAGATTCATATAAAAAGTACACTATCATTATAATTTTTATTAATGGAATAGTTAACAGATTCTAAAGACATTAGAATGATAGTAATGGAATATTACATGTAATCTAACTGCATTAAATTTGATATCCTATCTAATAAAAGGGTAATATGCAAATTAACTATCACTCTGCTACACTCACAAGCCACATCCACCAGCCAATCAGGATCCAGTATGCAAATAAATCCAAATAAGATAGCTGCAGCCACAGAGAGAGCAGGAGTGAGGCTTGGTTTCCCTGGCAATGGAAGAAGCCGAACTTTCCACACACCTTGGCCAGACCAAGTTTCTGCTTAAGGCTACAAAGTTTTAATTATAGAAGATAAATAAATCCCAACAGAAGTGACTGTGGCAACCCAGTGAACAGAAGGCTTGGCTCCTATAGAGGTTACAAAGTTTCAATTGTAGAGGAAAAGTAAACCCCAGATACCAGGGCCTCCATTTGTATCACCTGGAGGCATGGCCAGCCTGAAAACCTCTATAGGCCCCTCACCCAGGCTGCTTCACCTCCGAAGGGAACACCCACCCTGATCCAAGACACCCTTCAGGGAAAATCATCTGGCCCCCACCAATGCCCCAGATCTCTATTCTATCTAATAAAAGAGTAATATGCAGATTGACCATTACTCCAACACACAAGATGGCTACTCCCATATGGTCAAAGACCTGCCCTCATGTGGGCACAAGATGGCCAGCAGGGGAGAGCAGATGGGAGGGACCAGGCCTGCAAGGGAGGGAAGTTAGGGGTGATCAGGCCAGCAGGGGAGGACAGTTGGGGGCAATCATCATTGCAGGGGAGGGCAGTTAGGGGTGACCAGGCCATAAAGGAGAGAAGTTGGGGGCAAACAGGATAGCAAGGGAACAGTTAAGCATCAATCAGGCTGGCAGGGGGACAGTTAGAGGGTGATCAGGCTGGCAGGCAGAAGTGGTTAGGGGCAATCAGAAAGGCAGGCAAGAGAGCAGTTGGGAGCCAGTAGTCCTGGATTGTGAGAGGGATGTCTGATTGCCTGTTTAGGCCTGATACTACTGGGATGGGACCTAAACAGGCAGTCGGACATGCCTCAAGGAGTCCAGATTGGAGAGGGTGCAGGCTGGGCGGAGGAACACCACCCCCCGCGCCCATGCACAAATTTTGTGCACTGGGCTTCTAAGTCTTATATGAAACAAGTAAATTTCTTTAAAGACATAAGTTGTTGAATAAACAAAGAAGAAATAAAATGTTTAATAACTTGTTATCTATTAAAATTTTAATTCACAGCTAACATTCTTCCCACAAAGAAAACTCCTATTTTAGTTTTGCTGATACATGCTGTAAAATATTTAATATATTTACACTAAGCCTACATTAATTATTAGAAAAAATAATGCCAGCATCAACCAGATACCAAATCCAACAGAGATTTACAAGTATAAAAAATCAATTTTATTCATGAATACAGATACAAAACTTCTTAACTAAATACTAGCACATAAAATCTAGCCATTCATAAAAGGATAACATATTATAATTATATTGGGAATTCAGGGTAGTTTCAATATTCAACAGTCAATTAATATAATCCACTATGATATATTGTAAAAGCAAATAATTTAGAAGAAAATAATTGCTTAATTTTAAAAGAATGATAATAATAATAATAATAAACATTAATAACTGAAAAATAAACTTCTTAACTTGGTAATGGTATTCACAAAAACAGTACATTATACTTAATGTTGAAATATGGAATGCTTTTCCCCAACTTAATGTTGAAATATGGAAAAAGGAAGAAATACCTGCTCTCATCCCCTTTATGCAACATTGTGTTAGAGGACTTAGCCAGTGAAATAAAGAAAACCATAGGTAAATAGGTAGAAAAACTATCTTTATTTACACAAGATTTACTTGTAAATAAAACAGCAAATAAACAAAAATAAAAATCTACACCCACTCACACAACTATTAGAAATAATCAGTCTAGGTATCATGGTTACAGGTATAGATCAATATACAGAACCAGGTATTTTATAAACTATGATGAAATGCAAAATTAAAAAGTAATTCAAAATACTATTTAAAATAACATCAGATATAATTTACTTACAGGATCTTTTTCCTTACATGATATTCTACTATCACCCCACTTTTTAAATTTAAATATTAGGAGGCTTTGGAAATTTTATAATGTTGTCTTGATAGCTTTTACATTTTTTGTAAAATAATTTTTTTTGCTAAAATATGTCTGCTTTAGGTTCATTACATGTTACACAATTTTACCATGAGATCAACTGCCAATAAAGATTTTTGTTAATACTTTAGGAACAGCTTTTGGTACATTACAATAAAATTTTCTAGGATATTTGCTTATTTCAATTAGCCAATTTAAATTACTTTGAAACCTTGATTACACATAAGGAACTGTTTGACATTGGAATTGGGACTCAAAAGAACTGTTGGCCCAGAAAGAAACTCAGTACAGACTGATTCATTTGCTTCTCAGCAAAACCATTATGGCTGGTCTCATTCTCGTTTCTTACAAGTGTATTTCTTGTAGCATATGATCTCACACATCTAGAGGAAATAATGAGCAACATAAACTGATGTACAAAAATAGACCTGGAGACAGGGAAGCATTAATCAGACTCTCAAACCTCAGAGGGATGGTAGGGGAAAGTGGAGAAAAGGGGGGGAGATCAACCAAAGGACTTGTATGCATGCATATAAGCCAAACCTGTGGTCATGGACAGCAGGGGGTGGGAGCATATGTAGGGAGGTGTTTGGGATTAGAATAATGGGATGAAGACAATTATGTGATACCATAATCAATAAAAAAATGCCAAAAAATACCAAAAAAATAACATCAGAAATCATATAATATTCAATAATAAATATAACAAAAAAGTTAACTCCCCTAAAATAAAACCAAGCATTGTTGAAAGAAATTAAAGACTCAAGTGAGTATATACACATACACATACATATTTATGGTCTAAAAGGCCCATTTTTAATAGATAAAATATCCCCAATAAATTTATAGATTCAATATATCAATGAGCAATCCAGCTAGCTACTCATATTCCTCTGTGTTTGATTGATGATTATTCCTCTCTCTCTCTCTCTTTCTCTCTCTCTCTCTCTCTCTCATCTCTCTCTCTTTTTCATACTAGTGGCCTGGTGTACAAGTTCTTGCACATTGAAAGGAAATTAATTAGAAGAAATATTTTAATATCTCTCTTGGCCCTTTCTCTATAATAAAAATATCAACCACATTCACAATTGACAATGACAGATGGAAGCACACAGATGCAATTAGTGCCAGTGAGAGCTTTATGTGTCACCCATGTGCAAGCCAACTTAGTTTTTTTTATAGATATAGAATAAACTTGCTTAATTAGACCTGCTTTCTGATATAGTTAAACTTTTTCTAGCCAAGTAGAAGCACCCCAACTTTTCTTTCAGGTAACTGTGAGCAACACAGCAGTAAATATCAACATGAAGCAGATTATTATTGTAGATCATGCAGGGAGAACAAAGGGTAAAATATCTAACTACAGCAGTGTTTGATTATATTCTGCTCAGTGAGAAAATCTGAAGTCATTTTCAAGGTCCACAATTCATTACTTCTTTTCAGTCAGGTCAAGTTTCTAAACTTTCTAAATCTCCATTTTCTGGCTAATAAAAATAATCCAATCCCACTGAGTCTCCTATCTACCTACTCCAGGACTTCTGTGAGAATCAAATGAGATGAGGCAAGGGAAAATGCTTCACATACATTTGGTTAAAGTATAAATGTTTCCACCCGGCCATAAAGCAAGCCATGTTCCTAGGCTGAAGAAATGCTAAGGAGGCTAATCACTAGGGAGAGGAAGTTAGGCTTGTATGTGACATCATTACCTAGATGGCTGGACACAGCATATTGAATGGAGAATATATATATATATATATATATATATATATATATATATATATATATATTCTCTCTTGCTACAATGTCAGATTCATTAATTTTTTTGCAGTATCTAATATGCTATTAATCTCATCTAGTTTTGTTTCATTAGATCTCATAGTTTTCACGTGTCTCAGATTTTGATTTTTACATTTTTTTAAAAAATTTAACTTGTATCCTTCTTAAATTTCTTTCATATTTTTCCTTAATGACTTCATGTTTTTTTCTATCTTATTAAACTCATAAAATATAATTATAATATCTGTTTAAATATAATTATTTATCCATTATATCATTTGTGTCATTACTAGGTTATTTCTACTGATTAAATTTGGAACTCATCATGTGTGGTATTTTTCTGACATTTTGTATCCTTGGGAATTTTGGATTGGAAACCTACCTTTCTGAATTTCATCTTATCAAGTGCTTGATAATTTTGTATTCTTTTAAACATAATAAGGAGAGTAGAAACATGATCAGATCTGCATTTTGAAAATGCAAATGCTGATTCTAAAGTATAGGGGCAACTGGAGAAAATGTCACTGGAATTTAGTGAGAAAATTGGTGTAGTTATCCAGGAGAGAAATTATGAGCATTTCATCACTGCTTAGCTCAGTGCTGCCATGTGTAACAACTGGATAATTATTTGTTGTGTCCACTGATTCTTGATCAACACACAGCAGTTAGTAATATGCACTCTTTTTTTTTATTTGTAGAATATGTTATATTGGAAAGCAATTCCATGCTAAAGGAAGCTATCCTGAAGAAGATAATGAGGTCCAGACTTTTAACAGTTTCTATCGATGACTATGGTAAAGTTCTGTGCATGTTAAGCTATTTAAGAACAACTTTCTCTGCATCTTATAGTTTTACATAGAAATGACTCTACATCTTTAATATTTTGCTCTTTCTTTAAAAGAACTTCCTTTACAGTTGTCCCTTCCCAAAGACTTTATGGACGAAAACAAGTATGCTCTTCTGTTAATAATGTAAGTATTTTATTTGTTTTTGAAAAAAATAAAAGGAATCTAAAGATTTTATATTTTTTCTTAAGTCTCACATGACAGCATTCTGATAAAAAACAAAAACAAAAACAAAACAAAAAACCACACACCCAGAAGTATAGTTAATGGGCAGCTGTCAGTTGTATGAGTTCCTCAAAGAAACAGCCATTAATTGTATGGAGGGATGTATAATTGTTTTGTCCTTCTTTCATTCCTAATTGAATTAAATGTTACTATTGGGTATAGTGAAATATGTAATTTGGTTTATGTCAGCTTAACAATTGCTCAACCAGACATAAACCAGATTTATATATATATATATATATATATATATATATATATATATATATATAATTTAAATGATATTAATTGGTGTATAAGTTTCTTTCTTGGAGATTTAATTGTCATATCAAAGTTATGCTCTCTTCATAAATGCAATTTTTTTTTATTGTGGTAAGAGCACTTAATGTGAGATCTATCTTGTTAAGTGTTTGCGTTCACACAGTACAATATCACTAGCTATAGGCGCAGTGCTTCACAGCAGAACTCTAGAATGCATTTGGTTTGCATGACTGATACTAGCTACCCATATAGCGACTCCCATTTCCCCTCCTGCCCCTGGCAGCTACCAGTCTACTGTCTGCTTCTATGAGTTTGACTACACTAGGTGCCCTTTGTAAGTGGAATCATGCTGTTTTTGCCCTTCAGTGACTATTTTACATAGCATAACATTCTTAAGGTACATTCATGTTACAACATACATGTCCTTTGTTGTTCATCAGTTGTTTATTTAATATGGTGGGAACATTTCTTTTCATTGCTAAAACATTTGGTTATATTTATATCACTCCCATCAGTTTTCCACCCTGGATGCTTGGCCAGCAGGAAGTAGTTCTCATGCTCAGAAAACTTGACTATTTGGTATTTCAACATGGAATTGACTCTAGAATTAAATTAATCCATGCTTTCTGTGAGACTATATTGTGGCTGTATGATATTGGGCACAGAGTCCCCTAAGAGATAATGGTTCATGAATTTGATATTCATGTAGCATTGTATTCCTGAGAGTTATGCTATTTTCCTTATTAAAAACCTAGCCAGCATATTGCTATGACAGTCTAGAATTATATCAGAGACTCAGCAGGAATGAACAAAATGACAGTGACATTACTTGTTACAACTACTAGATGCAAGAATAGTAGTGAGTCTGTGGAATCCAACTGCCTGACTTCCAATTCCACTTTTGTCATTACTAGTTGTATGTCCTTGAGTGTAATACTCAACTTCTTCTAAGGCTCAGTTTCTGCAAATCTACTAGTAAGCAAACATTTCAATAGAGCCTATGTCTTTAGGCTGCTTTTGGATTAAGTGAAATGCATCATATGAAATGCCTAGTACACATAATTATTATAATTAATGTGATTATAATTCATTATTAATATAAACTGTATTGATTTTATTTAGTATTTTAAGAAGTAGAAGCAATTTTTCACTTCATTTTAATAAGCCAAATTATACAGAAAATAAAATACTTAGTATTTTCACTTGGCCCAGTGTTTATTCCTAATTATAATGCTTTGGCCTCAATTGTTTTTTTTTATCCTTTGCCACAAATAGCCAGAAGGTCCTCAAGCGTCTTGGTTCTCTCTGGGGAAGTTCTTATGAGTGCTTTTTTATGTTAATTTTTTCTTTTGCCTCCTCATTTCACCTTTCTGTTTTCAATCCCTACTTGAACTACATGTGTGGCAGATTGAGGGAACTATTTAAGGCATAAAAATGGAACAAAAAAGGGAAACATTTAACCTCATCTTCTCTTTCAGTCATATTTGCTTTAGGAAAAGGGATTGTCTTTTTTTTTTCTCCAGTTTTATTTTCCCCTCTTTATTTATTGATTGATTGATTGATTATGGTCTCATATAATTGTTTTTATTCAGTGGGAAATATGGTTTCTCTAGGCATCCTTGCTTGAAGGATGAGCTCTTCCGCAGAGGGAAGAAAAGACATATATTCCCTCTTGCACACCCACCGGCCTGGAAGAGTACAACAGTTTGGGAGACAGGTAGACAAAAGCTACAGATTCTCTGTAACTAGAGTCAGAGAAGCCAGGTGGCTGGTCCTGGCATCAGGTTTGTGCTTGGTTGTGGGTGATTTTTAGTTCAGAAAAGGAATGTGAGGACTAGCACAAGACTCAGTTTCTCATGTAAAAAAGGGATATTCAGGTCTTCTATAGAGGCAGGCTGGGAGAGTAAAGGCACTGGCTAAGGAGTTAGGAAGGCCCAGGTTCAAACCCTAACTCATTTACCAATATATTGCTTAATGTTCTGAAGTTTCTGTTTCTTCCTAGATAAACAGGAGATAATGAATGGCATAATTTATATGAACATGCCAACATAGTGTTTGGTAGAGCATGAACATTGCACTTACTGTTTAATAAATCATAACCATAATCATAGTTATTAGTAGAAGTAGTACTTTTTACTTTTTTTTGTTAATCTTCACTTTAGGAAAAAAAAAAATATATATATATATTTTTTTTTTTTCCCCCCTGATTTTTAGGTAGAGTGTGAGAGAGGGAGAGAGAGAGAAACTTCGATGTGAGAGAGATACATTGATTGGTTGCCTCCCACACATGCCCTGGACTTTGCTGGGATGCAACCTTCAACCAGGTACATTCCCTGGACTGGTAATGAAACCCAGAACTCTAAACACTGAGTAACATCAGTTAGGGCTTTTAGTAGTGTTTTTAACATTTAATATTATCACTATATGACATATATAGTTGAGCATCCATAAAATTATTCATTACTAAAGCAGATAAAGTAATTTAGCAGGGGCCCATCAAATTTACTTTATAACTTTTTGGTTGATGAAGAAAATAATAAAAACGAGTATCAAAAAGCAACAAGCAGACTGTCAAATTACAGTGGGGAGGGGAGGGAGATCTGGGGGAGATAATAGATCAACCGAAGGACTTGTATACATGCATATAAGTACAACCAATGGACATAAAACACTGGGGAGGGAGGGTATGTATAGGAGGGAGGGAGGGGGGCAAAAAAATTTTAAAAAACTAAAATAAAATAGTTTTTGTGCTGATGGCAAAAAAAATGAGTATCAAGTTATTAGTTTATATGAGCTTATTATACTAAATATTGATTTACTTTAATCAAATTGCTCAGTTTTCAGATGTAAATTCTCATAAGTTTAGTGAAATATGACTTAGAAAACTAAACCTAAGACTTTAAAATATTTATTTAAGAAATTATCTATTGTCTTAAGCTGCATGATCATGATTAAAATATTTATACTTGGAAACCTATATTTGTCAAGATGGCTTAAGTGTGAAGTGTTTTGTAACTGTTAGATTGTCTATAATTTAGAGGCATTGTTTTCCCTTAAGGTTAAATCCTGTTTTCAGTGACAAGTGGATTTCCCTCTCAACAAAAGAAGATAATGATAATTGATTATTTTTCCTAAATGGGCAATTAGTGAGGAATAATAAATGAAGTGACTATTATTTAAATGAGATTAAGAGATGATTATATGATTTTGGTATCACAACTTGATTGCTGTTCTGTGCAGTGCATCAAGTTTTCCACAAAATGAGCCTCTTATGTTACATACACAGATGGATTAACAACCAGGAAATCCTGTGATAAATACATGAGTTGGAGACAGGTCACAGCAAATGCCGAGTAGCTGGAAGGACAATGGGCAATTAGCGGACTCCTTTCGGTTAGATATTCATTATTGGACCTCTGAAGAAATGGTCCTCTGAATACTTCTTTGTGTCCATATTATCTAAAACCCAAATCTAATTCCATGGTATTGAAGGGACTGGTGACTCAAAGGCAGAGGGTATTTTACTGTAATAGAAAATCTAAGAAGCATTGTCACTGCAAATGCCTCTGAGTGGCCTCCATTTTCAGTGGTTTCTATGAGGTCATGACCCCCCTTTCCTTCCCTATTTCTGTTCTCTTTCCACATGCCTAAACATATTTCTCTAGCCTCTCTGTTTAACATTATAGGGAATCCTTAGGGGCCCAGTAGTCCATATTCTCCTTTATGCATCTGTACATGTGGAATGGACATGCATCTATATTAATTTCAGCATTTAGAATTTACAACTGTTAATATGTTCTTATTTTCTAATAATGTATATGTAATTTAATGCAATGCACATTTACCATGTTGCTTTTATGTGTAGGAAGCTGTACTAATGCCTATAGAGAGACAAAAAAATAACAAGAATCTTGAAATCTGTAATAGTTTTTTAGATTTGTTAAGTATATCTCCTCAGTGCATAAGCACACATAATAAAAAGAATCCTTTTTAACCTACTGACAAACCTATAATTTTCTTAATAGTGCAGGACTGGAAATTATGTGGGTTAACCTACAGTTACAGTGTTTATTTGCTAAATACATAAGCATGGATCTAAATGCCAAGACACTGGTAGAGAGCAATCCAGACAGATGTACTGTTACTAAAGATGAAAGGTTGTGTGTTGTTTTGTCTGTGATCCATGAAGAGAAGGGCTGTTGAATAGAAGTTTCACTCAGTGCTAAGAAATCACCATCTTTTTCCATTTTCTGCTCTTTTAATGTTCAACTTCTCTATTCCACACTTCATAAAGTTCTAACTCAGGGAGGTGGTGACTGTTCAACAAGTTAATTTAAGGAGTGCATCACACTCTATCTGGCCCATAACTTGGTTCCCTGATCTTAAACCCATGTCTCTTGAAATTCTAATGAAGTCATGGATATCCAACAAGTCTTACCTTACCGATGCTCTCTTTTGCTCTCCTCACCAGTCCATCTTATAATAATCAATACAAGCCTTCATATACAACTATATAGCTTTATGCCAGCAGACTCTCCATCTATCTTAAACCAAATTATATTGTCCCTTTCACATTTTATCTGAATATTTGTGAGGATGGTTTTATATGTTAATTAATGAATTTATGACTCCCACTAGATTTT